AATACATATTTGTGAGGTTGACTCACAATCCTTCAGAATATTACTGCCTTAATGCAAATGAATAGACGTATGAGTTCAACTGAAAAGAAAAGTTTTAGCCACAAATCCTTTTAACATCTTTTTGTTGTGGAAGTAGAGGATATCCCAGTGGTGCTCACGGGCTAGTATTCCTGACTCTGTGCTTAGGATTGACCCTCTGGCAGTGTCAAAAGACCACATGTGGTGCCAAGGACTCGAAACATGATTACCCTCATGCAAGACAAGTATCTTACCTCCTATATTATCTCTCTAGACCTAAGTTTTTTTTCTGGTTTTCAGTTTTTGTCCAGTCCATCTAATTCCATGTGAAGTCATTTATCTTGAAACTGACATCTGCTCTAGAAAAACAATAGCAAAGAATAAGTTTAGAATGACAAATTAATGAAATTCTTTTGCCAGGTTTTAATTTTTCTAGTTAACCCCAAGCAGTACGTTCGATACAACTACGACATAAAGTACCTAGTAATTTACTTTTTAGTTTAGTTTTGATTTGGGGCCACGCCCAACTATTCTCAGGGCTTACTTCTGGCTCATCACTCAGGAATGGTGCTCTGGGGATCATATGTGTTGCTGGGAACCCAACTCAGATCAGCTGCATACAAAGCAAATGACTTTGCATTATGTCTCAAGTGCTGTTTTGATAATAATATTTAATTATTTTTTAACTCAGTCATTAAGTAACTAAGGGCACATTGACACTCATCTTTTAATACATTTGTAAGAAGCAAATTATTTAAGGTACATACAAGAAGTTATAAGGATAATAAAATTCATCATTTTATTATGATTTTATTTCAGTGCATTTATAACAAGGAAATAATAAAATGTACATAAAAACATATATAGAAATCTCTTTGGTCTGGGTTTTTTGTTTGGTTGGTTGGTTTTGGTTTGGGGAACCATACTAAGAAGTGCTCAGGGCTTTCTCCTAGGTCTGTGCTCAGGAATCTACACCTGGTAGGCCAGGGGATCATACAGGTTGCTGAGATCAAACCCAGTTCAGCAGTATTCAAGGCAAGTGGCTTACCTGCTGTACTATTGCTTTGGCCTTAATATCGGACTATAAAGTTTAAAAGTGTCACAGCCTCAATGACTTTGCCCCTTCTCTATCCCCCTAAAAATTTAGGACTCTCTGAGGTTAGGAAAAGCTAAAACAGATTGGCCTATGGCCTGTAATTTGGAGGTGTGACCACCTTTCTCTGTGAGAAGCAGCCTCCTTGCTTTCTCGTGACTCTGACAGGGCCAATGCAGAACTTTCAAAATATAAGTAAGAACCTCAAGCCCCTGGCTAGACAGTACCAACCAGTGGAGATTGCACAGTAGAGACATTCTTGACCTCTAGCTTCTTTGCTTTTAATCTCCAGACTAAAAAATCCACCTCATGATGTAACTGAGCCATTTTTTGACATTTGTTCATTGTATGTTCCACAATTGTGTGAGCCTGCTCTTCTCCTTCATGGATATGTGTGTTTCCTGAAAAATTACTAGAGTTCATGAAAGCTGATTCCTCTCTCTCTATCTCTGTCTCTCTCTGTCTCTCTCTGTCTCTGTCTCTCTCCTCTCTCTCTCTTTCTCTCTCTCTCTCTCTCTCTCTCTCTCTCTCTCTCTCTCTCTCTCTCTCTCTCTCCCCCCTAACAAAGAGACCCCAGCCATGCAAATAAGGCCATTGTTTTCTAGTCAGTTGTTTCTGTACATTTTCCAGGATGATAAATCTGTGGAACAGGATTACATGCCACCACTTAAAAATAAAATTTTACAGGAATAATTAATGACACAGCAATTTGTAAAATAAAAACACACATATGTACACACACACACACACAAAGCCACTCAATTTTAAGGAGCCACAACTGTTTTTTTTTTAATTTTTATTGGTGAAACACCATGAGGTACAGTTGTAGACTTACAAACTTTCATGCATGGGTTTCAGTTATACAATGATCTAGTACCCATCCCTCCACCAGTGCCCATTCTCCACCCCCACTGATCCCAGTATCCCTTCCACCCGCAATCCCCCCCCCCCATCCCACCCTGCCTCTGTGGCAGGGCATTCCCTTTTTTTCTCTCCTTTTGGGAGCTGTGGTTTGCAAAAGAGGCATTGAACAGTAATCATGTTCAGTCTATAGTCTACTTTCAGCATGCATCTCCCATCCTGGGAGGATCCTTCCAACACCCTTTATTTGGTGTTCCCTTCTCTATCTGAGTGGCCTCCAAGCCATGGAGTAAACCTCCTGATACTTATCTCAGCTATTCTTGGGTGTTAGTCTCCTATTTTGTTACTTTATATTCTCCAGATGAATGCAATCTTTCTATGTCTGTCCCTCTCTTTCTGACTCATTTCTCTTAGCATGATACTTTCCATGTAGTACCACTTGCATGTAAATTTCATGACTTCATCTTTTCTTACAGCTACATTGTACTCCATTGTGTAGATGTACCAAAATTTCTTTAACCAGTCATCTCTTCTCGGGCACTCAGTTTTTTTCCAGATTCTAGCTATTGTAAAGAGTGCTGCAATGAACAAACAAGTGCAGATGTCGCTTTGACTATACTTTTTTGCCTCTCTGGGATATATTCCTAGGAGTGGTATTGCTGGGTCAAATGGGAGCTCAATTTCTAATTTTTTGAGAATCATCCATACTGTTTTCCAAAAGGGCTGAACCAGTCAGCACTCCCACCAGCAGTGAAGGAGGGTCCCTTTCTCGCCACATCCACGCCAACACCAGTTGCTTTTGTTCTTTTGGATGTGGGCCAGTATTTGTGGTGTGCAATGATATCTCATTGTGGTTTTGATCTGCATCTCCCTGATGATTAATGATGTAGAGCATTTTCTCATGTGTCTTTTAGCCATTCGAATTTCATCTTTGTGGAAGTTTCTGTTAATTTTGTCGCCCCATTTTCTGATAGGGTTGGATGTTTTCTTCTTGTGGAGTTCAACCAGTATCTTGTATATCCTTGATATCAACCTCTTGTCGGATGTGTATTTGGCGAATATCCTTTCCCATTCTGTGGACTGTCTTTGTATTTTGGTCACTGTTTCTTTTGAGGTGTAGAAGCTTCTTAGTTTAAGATAGTCCTATTTGTCTATCTCTGTTTTCACTTACTTAGCCAGTGGCGTGACATCCTGGAAGACACCGTTAGCTTCAATGTCATGGAAGGTTTTGCCGACTTTGCCTTCAATGTTCCTTATGGATTCCGGTCTGATGTTGAGGTCTTTAATCCATTTTGATCTTACTTTGTACGTGGTGTTAGGCAGAGATCTGAGCTCATTTTTTTGCATATAGCCATCCAGTTTTGCCAACACAATTTGTTAAAGAGGATTTCCTTGCTCCACTTCACATTTCTTGCTCCCTTATCAAAGATTAGATGATGATATGTTTGTGGGAAGATAGAGCCACAGTTGTTTAATGTGCTGGTGCAAGAGGTGGAGGGGATCCTTTAAGAGCCTTTTAGAGTGAGACTTCACTACTAGCACCACTAGTTTAGCAAAGTCCCTTTAGGGCTTTTCTCACTGGCTTTTCTCTGTGGTCCTCCCCTAGGCATAAACTAGACAGAAGTCTTAGAGATGAATTCTATCCCATTTCTTGAAAATGTGAGGAAATAGTAGGCCTCTGGGAGCTCTCTGGCAGCAGTAAGGAGGGAGTTTGCATGAACACAAAGAAAGATCGGGTTGGGGGGGGGAAGGGAAGCAGGTGAAGAAAACTCCATGGGAGCACTCAGGTATGGGCAGTGTGGCAGTGCACAGCTTCCTGGGGGTGGGATGGCCACATAACTAATGTTAAATTCTATCTTATTTTCTATGGTAGACTGAGAACCATATGAAGTTTGTCAATTGTTAACCTAAGTCTCTCATCACTGACTACAAATAAAATAAGTTGGTTCTGATGATAATTCTCTCTCTCCTCTCTAAGGAATTAGTGAAAACCCCAAGTAGGCTGCATCCTCAAGTTTCTCTCTGTCCTTGACAGTACTACAATCTTTTCTTTTCCTCCTTTATTTTCTGATTTTTTTAAAGAAATAGTGTGATTTATATTCTTGGTGACCATACAGAATTTTCTTCATTCTAAGAATTTTTTGGTACAGAGAATTCTGTCTCTCCATTCATAACCATTCAGTTCCCACAAAATAAAATATTTTGGCTGTCGACACTGTCCTCTTCTACCATTCTCTTTGCTCTTCCTTGTTTGCATTCACTATTTACCCGAGGGTAACTGAATCCTGTACTTGGCTTTTGGCTGGGAGGTGGATAACAGTCTTCAGTTAAATCTAACTAGAACATGATGATTCAGGAGTTAAGGACTTTCCACTTCATGTAGCATAAGAAAGAATTCCTAAGGCTACAATTCCCTTTTTTTGGTAGGTTTGGCGAAAACATTGTTACCTGTAATGACTCTTGAATTAGCTATTAAAATCTGAAGTAATCCAGTTGTCTTTTCCCTCCTTATTTGACCTTCTTTGTGACTGGTTATATTCATCCTGTTTCACAACTAGTACTGGTGTTGTGGTCTTTGCTCTGAAACCTTTTAGCTGCTGCCTGGATCTGAGAGTGCTGGAAAGTATTAATGATAATGGACCACAGGTACAAGGAGAGACACTGGAAAAAATAATTTTATATATATAATTAACTTTGTTTTGTTAGAATATAAAGAACTCCTTTCCTAAGCCTCCTTCAACCACCTTGTTTTCAAACAAGAATATTTTTCCAAATAAGGATTTTTTTAACCTACACTGACCCTTACAAACTGAATCCATTGGTAAAGGTAAAAGGCCCTCCCGTTGATCGTCGATTTGCTCGAGCAGGCCCAGTAACGTCTCTATTGGAGACTTTGTTGTTACTGTGTTCGGCATATCGAATACTCTCGGTAGCTTGCCGGGCTCTCCGAGAGGGGAGGAGGAATCGAACTCGGGTCGGCCATGTTGGCTGCTTGTAAGGTGAACGCCCTACCCGCTGTGCTATGGCTCCAGCCTCTCGGCCTTTTGGCTAAGATCAAGTGTAGTATCTGTTCTTATCAGTTTAATCAGAATCCATTGAAGAGAAAGAAACAGTTCCATACATTTCACCTTCTGAGTACAAATCCCACATGTTCTCTCCTTCTCAATTTGGGTTTGTACTAGTTTCTATGTGCTGCTTTATTTCTTTTAATGATTTTATCATCAACATCCTGATTATAATGCTGCATGCTGCCCTCCGTTTCAGCTCTTCCCTTAAATGTAGTTCAGACACATCCCTAAGTCCCCAAACAACAAACTGGAGTAAATATCCTGTAGCTGGTAATTCACTTTAGAAAAATCAATTGTTATATTAAGGACAATTCCCTTAGAGTGCTTTATTTGAATGTGATCTGAATATTCGCTTCTCAGGCTTTAGTAGCACCACCTCAATAACTTGAGCACATTATTTTGGCAGCAGTCTATCCCCAACATGTTGACCTGTTACTCCTTGGATATTTTCAGCGGTAGAAGAAGCTGTCACTATCAGGCAAATGGGAGATCTGGAAATCGGTCAAGTCTGGGGGTGGGAGGTAAGAATCTCTGGCACAGAATGTGTATTGAGTTTGATTTCTTAAGTGTCAAGTATAATTTTTAGGCTTAATGTTGCCTTGGTGCCTAGTGCTTTTAAAAAACACTAGGTGGGTTTCCAGTGCCTTTTAAACTGAAGCTTAAATATAATCATAATAAAGAATTAGAGTGTATTAAACATTATTGATAATTAATTTTCCTCCAATAATGAATAAGTATCTGTTATACTACAAACAGTAGACTGGCTACTGGGACCAGAAATGGCTGCACGATTTGCAGCCCTCAGTGCAAAATTAAAATGCAGATTTCCTTGTTTGAAAATCATTACGCATATAATGTTTGGACAGTAGAACCTTAACCAGAAGCAGAGCCATTCTAACCCTTCCACAAGAGACTGTGCAGAAGACCCCTGAGGTAGATTATGCCCAGGAAGCCTTGAAATGTGTACGGTCTCTGGCCTCAATGGACTAAGAAAATGGGAATCAGAGTCCCTAGGTGGGATGTTGCACATTCCAGAATCTGTATGCAGATTTATTTGTATTTCTAGTTTTTTAATTCTTTTACAAAATCCCTCCCTGCTTTGTTGATGGTGGTGTTGTAAAGACCAGTGTTCACAGGCATTCCTGGAGGTGGTCTCACATTTTTAGGTGTGCCATACATCTTGTATTTGCACACTTGACCATAATGCTCCCCAAGACTGGCTGTACATTCATTAAGGGGCTTACATAGGAGCTCTCCAGGGGTCAGTGATGTTACAGAGGTCATACTGATCCTGATACAGGGATAAAAGGAGAATAAGAAGGGTAAGATTAGGAAGAATGGCCTGGAGAAAACTTCCTGAAGAATGGACCCAGGATAGACTGAAGATAAACCCTGGGAAACATCCTGTTTATTCCCAGCTCCTTAATCTTCCTTCTCTTCTTGCATATCTTAAGCTCAATGCAAGAGTGCTAACACATAGCCCTGGTAAAGAGAATATTTAAAGAGGAGGTATATCATCTTTTCCTTAGCTTCCTATTTAAAGATTCTCCATGTCCCAGCTTCCATAGTTTTCCCTTCCTTTCCTCAAAAAGTTCTCTTCTTAATTTAACCATCTCATTTCCCTTCCTCTGCTTTCAGCTTTGACTGCCTGAGGACAAGAATTTGAGCAGCCCATGGCAATACTTCTTGGAGTGAGTCTTGTAGCGCTCACACACACCTGGTTTCAGTGCAGTTGGAAATCACTTTTGCCAGAGTGCAGACAGTAGAGCTGCCCTGAGGGGACTGGGCTCATGAAGGACACTGAGGATTTAAACTCATGACTGTGTCTTGCAAAGCAAGTGTTCTCAGCCTCTGTTCTTTTCTCCAGACCCTGTCCAGATTTCTTGAGCAGTCTCTTGTCTGTGGAATCAAGGCTTCACAATGGAGGTATTTAATGACTAACAAGCATCACATGAGGTTGGTACCTTCCCTTATTCTTTTTTTAAAAAAATGAATTGTTAAATGAAAATTACAGATCCCAGACTCCTAGAGACACTATTTCCTCCCTCAGTAGGGCAAATTTGTCTTTCTCTACTTTTTGGCAATTCACATTTGCCCAGGTTCAATCCCCGGATTCCCATATGGTCCCTGATGTACAAAAGAGGCTGTTTGAACATCCTGCTTGAGAGTCTCAAGGAGATTGTGATCCTCTTTCCCCAGTTACCTAGTTCTGGAAAGCTTGTAACCCAGAGGTTGGGGAAGGGCAGGGCTGTGTTTCCTCCTAATCTTGAGACCAGGCATGTCTCCACCCAGTCTTGGTAGGTAGAGTGGAGTGTGGAGCACCCTTTCCAGTGGTGCTAATCAGTCTCCAGTCTGCTTCCCCTGAGAACCTCACCCAGTGAAACTCATAGGGCAAATGCAAGGGATAAGCTGCTTCCACCTCTGAAAGTCACAGGACCCAGCTTTATTAGAAATGAAGTTCCCTTTTTTTAAGCATTTTTCTCTCCCCCAGGCATCTCATCAACGTCTGTAGTTCTCTTCACAAGTACAACCATCATATTCACTTTCACAGAGGAAAACTGAGACCTAACCAGGCGATGTAGCCTTATATCCCTGAAGTGTGAATTCAAGTAGCTGGGCTTCATCTGCCCAGAGGTGACATAAGATAATAGGGAAGAAGGAAAATGCACCATAAAGGGTTCCTCAGAGAGCCAGGGAAAGTGAACATGGAGAAGGATCTAGGCAATTCAAATTTTTTGAATGCCTAACAGGAAGCCTAACCGGTGCAGAGGGCACCAGAATGCAGAAAATGAAAGGAGAGTGAAAAGAAAACTACTGGGCTGATTTGATGAATTTACCCTGAATCTTTTGGATCAGGAAATATAGAATGAATTTATATCTTTTTTAGCTTTCATTATCATTATGTTTCATGGAGTATTGCCTTTGTTTTGTGGTTTTATTTGTAGATGATTCTCAAATTGTGATGCGACTACATCCCTATAAACTCATTGCAAATTGAAAATACAGCAAGTCAAAAATGCAGTAAAAACACTGATCCTATTGAACCTCAGTGCTTAGTCCAAGGTGACAAAAATGTGCTCAGAGTACTTACACTGGCCTGACTTGAGGGATGGGGTTGGACCACACCTGGCTATGCTCAGAGCTTGTGCCTTGCTCTTTGCTCAAGGATCACTTCTTTCAGGGCTCATGCAACTATATGTGGTGCCAGGGATTGAACCCAGATTGGTTGCATGCAAGGTAAGCACCCTGCCCTCTGTATTGTCTCTTCAGTCTCCCTGGGATGAATTATTAACCTACTCTCCAGATATGAACACTGAGCCCAAGAGCTTGAAGACTCACTCTTCTTACTTTGACTTAAGAGTTTTGCTGTAGAGCATTCTGGATGAGAACCTAATTGGGAGAAGCGAGAAAGGAGAAAGACAATGTTTTCACATTCAGTCTTAATTCAGAGTAAGAATTTCTTATCTCCTCATCTCAACCCCTTCCCATCACTGGGAACTAAAACTTAAGCATGAATTGTGAAGAGCTATTTTTTTCTAATTGAGAAAGACTAGCCCCTGGGAATAAAGAACTCACTAGAGGATTTTACAGCACTAATGAAAAGTATTTAAAAGAGAGGCTGGGGGGGATCATGAGAAGAAAAATGCCACCAGGGTAACCTTCAGGTTCATACTTTGCCTCACTGAAAATGAATTGAAATGAATTGAATCCAATTCTCTGCTATGCATTTTCCTTTTGAACAATCTAAAGCCAATTCAGAAGGAGAATAAATGGACTGCCTTCTAAAACATTCAGGCTTTTGCAAGACTTAAAATCCTTCAGACACCTATAATTACCCTCACATCATTGCTGCACATCAATTTAGTGTCCAGATTGAAAAATGGAATAAATGTTTACCAGAAACCCATTTACTTGTCATCTGCAACAGTAAGTCTGGGATGAGAAACAATATTCTGTGAGCGGAGGGGTATAATTTCACTGTCTGATGTCATTGTCAATGTTTCATCAATTGAAAATCAATAACTTCAATCAGTTTCCTAGATCGTTTTATTTTAACCTTTGGAGGGCAGAAGGGCCCTTTCTGTTCCCAAGGCCTTCAGGTATAGCATGGTTTGCCTTTTTCAGATAATCAGCAAAGCTCAAACTGCTTCCTGATTGAAGAAAATTGCTCAGCAGCCCTCGCAAATGATTGGAAAGTGTTTTCTAGTGTCTAACAATGACCTCGGGAAGTGAATGCAATTGCAGAAGGCCAGGCTCTTAGCATCACTGCAGGCCTCTGGCATTCTTTTCTTCTCTTTCCTGTTTTATTATTTGTATTTTTCCTGCATTTGTTGAAGTGACCTGAAGTTAGCTGGGCCACGGTCTCCTCTAAGGGACAGGGTGACCTCCATGGAGAGCCTGCTTTAACAAAGTCCTTGCATTGCAGACTTCAAATACTCCACTGCTCTGCTTTGTCCCCAGCTCTTGCTGCTGTAGACATTTCTGCAAAGCACTGCTTCAATGCAGATGGACCCTCCCTTGCACAGAATTAGTCTCGGATTAATTCATTCTTCTCTCTCTGTGCTCCTTCCTATGCTTTTTTGCTAAGTCCCTCTCGGTCTCGAGCTTGCCTATAATACTTTCCACTGTTTTTTTTTTCTTTCTTCTCATTTTTTTCCGAGTAAAAAGTGTTTTTTAATCCATATTCTAAAATATGTTTTTGGTCTTTTCCATTGAAACTTGGAAGAATTTGAGTAGCTACATGCTCAGGCTCAGATCACCATCTTAGATCAGAAGTCTTGACATCCTTTTCAAAAACAATTACTAATACAATTTATAGGCCTGTTTATGGCATACAAGTATTAAAAAAACCATGAAAGTGCTCAGCACTATAGGAAATGAATGGTTTATTAAACTGTTGACTATGCTCTAATCCTGGCTTCAGAATGATTAACCAACAAATCCATCATCTAGGGGAAAGCTGGCTTGGCAGAGATTAATTCTTAAACTATTCTTATTTGTGGGTATTGTTTGCTTTTTTTCAGGAGAACTTCCAGAATTTTTTGAAACTTTTTTTTAACTAAAACATAGTAACCTGTGTTTTGGGAATAACTGTAAAAATATTCCATACATTTGAATTGATTTTGGTGTTGATTGTTACTTTAATAGGGAAAGG